CTAGGAGCTCCTGGGGGAGGAAGGAGGGAAGGGACCGGATTATGCATTTGGTGTCAGATAACAGGGGGAGAGGGAGAGGGAGGGAGGTCAGAGACTAGGAAGGAGGATGAAACACATTTGTGGCACCGACCTGGAGCCAGGCTTTTGTGCAATCAACAGGTTACCCGACTTAACCCTCCCAGAGCACTGTGAGGCGGGGGGACTTGTACCCCTTACGCAGAAGGGCACATGTGAGCTCGGAGAGCCCAAGGTCAGTGACGGAGAGAACCTGGACCTTTGAAGCCGAGATTAGGAACCCCAAAGTGCTCTAGGGGAACCAGGCCGGGGAGGGGTAACACGGGACACTGGGAACAGCCCCCAGCCCCTGCCCCACACCCACCTAGCAGCAACAGCAGCGGCAAAAGCTGGAGGCGGGAGGCCCCCCTCATTCTGTCTTCAGACCTGGGCCAGGGAAGGGTGACACCGCTCAGGGTCTGGACTCCAGGCGGTGCCTGCAAGGAGAGGAGGGTCCTAGCCCCAGGCCCCAGAGGCCCTCTGTGTTCCCTCAGCCCCTGGTTGGCCCTGGACGTATCCCAGGGGCACAGGTCCTGTGCACCTCCCTGTCCCCGCACCCCAGGGACCATGACTGTCCTCCAACCACTGCAAGCTCTGGGCCCCCCCGGCCTCCACAGGAGCCCTGGAGCCTGGCCCCTGCCCCCTGACCTATTTCCATGACCTGCCGGCTGCCCCTGAACTCTGCTCTTACCTGCATGGCCGGTGCCCTCCCTGCTGACTGGGCAGGGGCAGGACCTGGGCGCTTAAAGGGATTGGGGGTGTGTGGGCCTGGCCAGGGGGTGATTAAGGAGGCCAGGGCGGGGCTGCGGCTTCACCAGTCCCGCCTCGAACAAAGATGCTCTGAGCAGTGCTTGTGAGGTGGCAGGAAAGGGACACCTGGGTTTGTCAAAGGACGCCCGGCTTGGGCCGCGGTGCTGACAGCTTGCTGAGGGCCGGGCAAAGCCAGGGGCGGAGAGCTGTGGTCAGGCCAGGAAGCTCTGGAGAATCCTTGCCCGCTCATCTGTGAACCTGATCTCAGCTCCCGGCTCCTTACAGTGCCGGTCACGGGAGCAGCTGACTCGACTGTTCTGTCCGGAAATCCGGGAGCGGCCCACGAGGAGCCCCAGCCAGACTCTGCCCCGCACTCAAAGTGGGAAATGGCTGCCTCGGGGCTGGCCAGCACTCTTTTCTTGCTTGACCGGAAGCAGAAGCCGACTTGACCTTGGGACACAGTCCACTCTTGGATTTGGTGTGACCAGGACAGTGAGGCTGCTGGGAGAGTGAACCCCGGGGACACACAGCCATGTCGGGGGGCGGGCGCCAAACTTGATGGGGGAGCTGTGGCCGAAAGGCTGGAAGCCTGTCCCGCAGGGGACCTGGCTCCCTGCCTGTTGGAAACTAGGGGCACGGGGTGAAGGGCACAGATGACAACGCTCATTCTGAGAAGCTGGCTCGTGCAGGGAGGGGCCAAAACTGGTTGAATAGCCAGTAGAACCCCTGGAAAGGGCCCCCAAACCCAACCCTTGTGTCAGACTGAGAAACTGAGGCACAGACCTCTGCTGGGCCCACGTCCCCTTCAGCCCTCACCCTTCAGTCCCATGGCAAAAATGGCCCCTGGGGAAATGTCATGTGCTTGCCCGGGGAGGGGACCTGACTCACAGCTGAGTCCACGCTACCTTCTCTGGCACAGACCTGACCCCAGTCTCAGGAGAGGACGAACGACCCAATCTGGGGCCACTGTCCCGGTGACACGTGACCCGGACCCAACCAGAATCTCTCCCTGGGACTTTTACCCTGGAAAGAGAGAGGACCCATTGGAGGCCTGAGGGTGGGGCAGCCATGGCCATGGTCACAGGCGAGGACTCTCAGCTGGCCTGAGAGCCTGGAACCTTCCACACTGAGAAAGAGTGCCCTGCGGTGTTGGAGCTCCTAGTCCGGGGGTCCCTGCCCTTCTCCCAACTGCCTTTTCTGCCTCTGACATGACTTTCCTGCACTCATGCTAGTTCTAGGGGATTCTGTTGCTTACAAGGTCTCTAAATGCCAAGGATGGAAACAAAAAACCACAACTCTATAAACAGCTCCTGATGGCCCAAGACCATGGTCCATCAAGGGAGAAGAGAAGATACGTTTCACAGCCTGTCGCCCTGCGCGGGCGCGTCACGATGGCAGTGCCCAGCCCACTGCCTGCAGCACGGGACTCGTGTGACAAATGTCCAGCCCTACCCTCTGTACCTGGTGGCAGGAGGAGGAGGTGGGGGGCGGGGGGCGGCCCCGGGGAGACCAGCCGGCGGCCAGCTCTTCAGGATCCGGTTCGCGTGCGTGCTGATGTCACAGCAGATCCCAAGCCGCTTGGGGTGGCCGCAGCCAGAGTCCCCACGTCACGTTGATGTAACAACCAGAGGTTGTCCTTATCGGCCTGGGGAGAGGCAGAGGTGTAGGGGTGAGCCGGGCATGGGGAGGGGGTGTGCTGTGGCAACTGCGGGGATCCTTCCGAGCCTCTGGGGAGGTGGCTCCAAACGCGACCCTGTGGGCGACACGGCTCAGGTGGGGGCCAGTGGTCCTATGCAGCCGCTCACGCAGGCCCCGGGCCCCGGAAGCGGAAGGAGTCTACCTGCTGCTGGAGGGGCCATCCCGGCCCTGCCAGGGGGTCCCGCGGAGCGGTGCTGCAGGGCAGCTGGTGCAGGGCACAGAAGAGTGCCATCCTCCAGCGACATGTGGGACACCAAGGGTGGTGGGTGATCCTCTTGGGGCCAGCTTGGAGGGCCTCGGAGCAGGGGACAGGAGGCGCCCTCAGGTTCCAGCTCCTCGGAGGGTGGGTTGTGGAAGTGGAAATGGACGGACGCTGTAGGAGACCCCACGGCATGCCCAGGAGACGGCCGGGGACTCGCCACCCAGGGATCTGCTGGCCCCTCCGTGTAGGGCCCGGCAGGTCCGTGTGCAGTAAGAGGCGGGCAAAAACTCTGGTGAGGGGGGTGACTCAGTCCCGCCACCTCCCGGGGCCTCAGTTTCCTCACTGTGAAGAGGGAGAAGGGGAGTTCCAGCCTCAAGGGCCGCCACAGCGCATGAAGCCTGAACGTGTCGCCCTGTAAACCTCGAGGCTGTCGGAGGTGGGACAGAGGCGGTGAGGGCCCCCCTCCCACTCCTCTACTTGTCTCTCCACAGCTGGGGGCAGGGGGTGGGGAGCCGAGGGGAGGAA